CTGAGGTGAATAATTGTTTTAGTATAATTTCAATAGGTGACTATTTGGAAAAAATACACATTCATTTCTTCGCCATTTAATTGGCAAAATGGCTTAGCTTAGCATTTTTAAAATCGCTTAGGTGATTATAATCACCTCAACGGCAACCAATCAGCATGGAGAATTTTCAATAATCATCTATGTAATTATACTAAATAGTATATAAACTGAATTTTCCACCAATAAGGTCTGATTGTCAATTTTTGGCTACTGCTGTAACTCTATACTGTATGATCAAAAGATGTAGAGGAATTAAAGATCATTACATTGTTTGTTTGTCTCTTTTGCTTTAAGTAAACTGACTAAACTCATACAAACTACTGTTCTTGTCTTGACAATACTGTAGGTTGGAATTGGGGATAACATCTATCCAGGGCTTATGCAGTTGCAAGGCCTGTGAATGACCGTAAATATTAACCAATGAAGAGATAGAATTGAAGAATCAGTTATCTCATTTATCTGTACCCTATAGTTTCTATTTGCTGATATCACAGTGACACATGAGTTATAACAACCTTGCCACTTCTCTGCGTACACAGCTTTAGTTCCAGGTTTAATGCAAAAGTAATATCAGCTAAATCTGTTTTAAAAAACATTGCTTTTTGTTTACACTGATTGTCTAATTAACATGCACTCAGCCACTCACAAGCCAGATTGTTTGTATCGATAAAGTTTCATGTTTCCATCCACATGACAAGAATGCTGTTCTTTTTCACAACAGGGACACTCCAGCCAGTTGACACCCTTTAAAGATTCCAATTCAAATTGGCAATATTTCCATTCCTTGAAGGCAATCGAAAACACAGTCGGGTTGATAATGCCACACTATAAACAAGAAATTAGTATGGTGGTTTACATGACTGTGTATTGTTTCGGGCATTACATATCATGCCTCTCAGCATATAAAATCTAGTAATAACAGTGCAGTGGTATAATTTGGTGACAGAACAAATGAGAGTTTTATTCTAATACTGTATGTTCCAAATGTAAATAATTATCAACACTTTATTTATAAAACTTTGTCATAACTTCAGTACAAAATTACAGTACACAAACTATGGTACTGGTACACAAAACAACATGGCTGGGTTATAATCACAGCTCCAAAGGACTCCACTGGAGTTAATTTAAGATGAGCCCTTACAATGAGATATACACAGCTCTCCTGCCTTAATTGTACTTTTTCAGCTGCTACATGTATACCACTTAGGTCTAAAACTGTCTGTAAAATTTTGTTTGATCTACTAAAACCTGCCAGTGGTACTGTAACAGTCAGCTATAAAATATAACCATACCCTTCCTTTTGTTAATGAAATTTCTTCAAGTCCCTCAAAAAAACTTTTCTGAGATGTTCCTGGCATTCTTTTTTGAAATATATCCCACATATGAAATAAATCTTGGTGAAAGATATACGAAGATGATGATTTCAAACTGCCAGGCCAATAACCGTTCCTTACAATCGACTGAACATCACTCAGTGGCTCGCAAACCAAGTTACAATTAGTACATTTTACTAAACATTTGTTGAAATCAAATCGACCTAAAAATACATAGTTAATGAAAGTTATCAAGAAATGAATTTTTTTACTAACTTTACCTTTTTAACTACAGTACAGTAAGTTGTCATAAGAATAAATTTATTACCATTAATAGTTACAACTATTATTGTCTCTTTTTTGGCCTGGCATGTCAAAGACGTCACTGTGTCACAGGAAGGGCAATTTCTAGGTCCAAGATGCAAAAACCTCTCTAGAATATAATATTAGTCAGTCAATTAACAGGTAGAAGTTACATATATATAAATGCTATTATTAGACATCTATCATTCCCACCAGCACCATACTGTAATCATGTAAAAATGCTTCTTGACTCTCAAATTTTTCAACCTAGTGGTTTTTTGACTGGTCACATTTTTACAGTATGCCTTCCTATAGATTAAATGGACTGGACTAAATCATTTCCATAGACAATATACTGTAAGAAGTAACTTGAAGTTAATTGGGGGGGGGGGTTGCTTTTCCCTAATTAGCCTCTTCTACTGTACTAGAAAAGGGCACTTTTCCAATTGTTTTGCTTGAAGAAAAGGGCACTTTTAAGAAATCCTGGGGGGGCAGCATTTTCACAGTCGAGTCAGCTACATACAGCTTGTGCACTGCCCATTAAATCACATTGCGCCCTGATGTGTCCAACTTTAGATGATTTTAGATGTGAAGGGGAGATCATTTTATTTGTCAGATGATTTTATTTGTGAGAGGGAGAACGCTGGTGCTTAATAATTAATGGGTTAATTGGCCTACATATCTGTACGCCCATGTGTCTTGTTAAGCCATTAAGTCGCATTGCACCCTATTTTATTATTCTGCTCTGTCTACTGCCAGACAATTTTACTCATCAAGGGGAGAGTGCTGACACTATATAGAAAACCCACAAGTGTGTCATAAATCCATAGCAAGAATTAACAGTACTGTATATTTGAAAATATTTGTACTATTTTTGCAGACTGTACAGCCGACCTGTTTGATTGAGAAACAAATCACATACAGTAAGATGCAAACTTTAACTCCTAGCGAGCATGAATCATTAACCCATTAAATGCCAGCGGTCTCCACCTGACAAGTAAAATCGTCTGGCATTAGAAAAAGCAACATAATGCAATGCAGTGGATTAAAATAACTCAAAAGTTTGAGACAAGTCAATTGTGAAGAACATACGGTACCTGACCCAGTCTTTCTATACCCATCAAATTTTTCCATGGGTGCAACAGCCTCAAAAAAACGCCCATTCCATATCTCTCGGTCGTGGAAAGGATTTGATGAATGTAATCTTTCATCACAGATATTGCACATGTAAAATGACAAACCACATTGATGACATCTAACATTGGCATCACTTCCAAAACAGAATGAACATTTGTCTGAGTGGTGGTTTTCGTCAGAGACAACCCAGTTAAAAATAGAGCTCCGTCCTTTTGTCCAATCTTCCTGCATATCAGTCATTCTTTTTGTCCAATTTGATTCCACATATTCTGTGCTACCCATGGATTCCAAAAGGGTTTTACAATGAGTAATCAAATCTTCCAGGCTTTCACCTGCCAAGCAATATGAAAACAGATGAGTAATAAAACCATGTACAGTAGGCTCAAAATTAGCCTTTTATGATGGCTAGCATAAAAATGGCTAGCATAAAAATGTATAAGAGTTCATTGCTTGCTATGATGCACATTATACATGTAGTTATCATCTAATTACTGTACATATGGCATATTGTCATTCATTACATTATGGCTAGTTGATACTTTCTGTATTCCTAACATATTCTGTTCTATACAAATAATTTTTATTTTGTTAACTAATAACTTTTTTGGATTAGTTTGGCTAATAACACATTTAGAAAAACATAGGAGGGCAGGGCTGCAAATAAATATTTGACTTGACAGGACATTTGTCCGATCACTTTTAATTTTGGTCGGACATAACTTGAATTTGGTCACTACAGACAAAAACCAACTAAATTTGGTCGGAAAAATATACGTCACAAGCTATATTAATATTATAAGTCACAAGAGAAGTATGTATATCCATTCCGGCGCAACGTTATTGCAAAATGCAAATTGAGTGAATTTGCATTGGATTTTGTCACAGCAAAAAATGTACAGCATGTGACAATTTTTTTTGTGATCGGACCAATGTCCGATAAAAACTACTTTTGCTCAGACATTTGCCCAATTTAGTCGGACATTGTCCGATGTCCGACAGTAATTTGCAGCCCTGGGAGGGGCCAATAATAATTATCAACGTCTTCCTAACCATCAAATGAATGCTCATGCAATAACCATAATTTTCATCACCAATGTGGTACACTATTCGAAATGGACTTATGTTCTGGGAAAGTCTTTATGCTCTTAATAGGGTAAAATATTGATAATTATAAGAATTATAAACAATCCCTTTGTATACCTTTCACTTGGTTGTCTTCATAACTGAAATCATCAGGTTCGCACATTTCACTCGAGCACTCAGCAGGCACTATAACATCTTTATTAAATAGAATAAAGTGAGGCCCAATGTTACATGGTTATAACATTATATTCATTGTATTGTAGCTCTTGTATTAAGATGTTTTAAATTCAAAATTACTGTAGTTTAACCATTAAGTTATACAGAATACAGAGCTTCCCCATGGATCGACAAGTAAAATCATCTGGTGTTAGACAAGTAAAAAAAACACTGGGTGCACTGGGGCGCATTGCAGCTCAATGGGTTAATTAATGCACTCTTAATAAATTGTTTTTGGCATCTACTGGAACTTAGTTGCCATATGATGTCGATAAGAAGTTTAGATATATGAATGAAGTGTATGGTTCACTTCTCCTGCAAACAGGCTCTTTGGTTTGTTAATTTGACAGCTCAAATTTTGCACACATTTTAAAGGAAGCTTTCAGAATCTAGTTTCAGAAATTTCAAGGAAGATACTACTTGCCAATTCAAGACAATGTTTAACAGTACCTGGAACATGGAACCTTGACAGTTGTTTGTGATCAAATGAGGATTATTTTACAAATTTGCAGGAAACTCATTGCAGAAAATTTCATAAACATTGCCTTATTTAATTTCAGCCTATAACATCACACGACAGTGCTTGTGATGCCCCCTCTGCCACTCAATATATGTATGTAACTTTGACTAAATCACCCCCACCGTCACATATTTATGTGAATGTTTCCTTGGTAGGACGGCATGGACAGCAGGGTTGGTAGATTTAGTGCCGAATAAATAAGCCAAACATTGTTATAAGCGGCCCTTTGATGTCTTGGTTTCAAACAAAGAAAACAAAGGTTATGCTACTTATATAATGGCTTAATTTAATCAGCAACCTACCAACCCTGATGGACAGTGGTAATACTGAACACCATTGCATTGCACCTGTAATGATGGCCAATTTACAGGCAAAGTTCCCAATATTTTTTTATTTAAATAAATACATACTTAAGACATGAGAGATACAAATTAATACAAATTGTTCCAGACTGGTTAAAATTTTGTGTTGCTTAATTTTTATGTCAATAAAATTGCCTTGTGTATTAAATTGCTAAAATTGGTGGCCTAAGTATTACATGTTGTTGTATCATCTCGTTTTTTTAATTGCACTCATAGACACAAAGCAAATCATACTTTTATCGCCCTATTCGGCTATTCTCTCCCTACAGTATATAAAATGTCCCAAATACTGTACAAGCACGGTCCATTCTAAATCATTTTCAACTCCTTTACTAGAACGATTTAATTTAGTAAATGATCAATCAAACCTGAACGTCTACTACATCTTCTTGAGGAATCATATGTTCCCTTGAAATCACGAAGACCAGTTTTTGGGTCAGTGTTTATTTCAAACCGAACTGGTTTCCTCTTCCTTTTCGAATATTGCTCGCAAAGTTCTTTCACCTGTTGTAATGCCTCTTCGGTGGACGGCTTTTTCTTTCTTCCCAAGCGTGACGACATGCTGAAAAAATATGTCTTCTATGAAGCCATTATATTGTGAAAGAAGACTATAAAATTAAAATTACAAACATTTTTTTAAAAATATATCAGTGTCATTGCGTCAAATCAGCGCCATGTGCAAAATTTGCAATGCGCACATCTATTTAACTTTGATTCCATCTACGCATGCATGAGATTCATGATTATAACGAATTCAAAGCGATTTAACATTTCGTGATAATCACGAATTCAATTCGGAGATCGTGTTGGAAATACAAGTAAATAAATGTACTTACAGACACAGGAACCCCCTAGCTACACTTTTGTATCCCTTTTTTGAAAACATTGATTTTAACGTAATTCTTTGCACAAATGTAACCAAAGATGTTTTGAAGTAACATAAAATTGTCATAAAGTGATTTTCAGTTTAAACGGTACGTATAATGGATGAAATTATAAGTTATAAGATGTGCGCAGTAAAAGTGCGCAATACAAAACCGCGGAATTACCTTAAGTGCTAATTAAACACTACTACTAGTCTACTATTACTAGAAGCCCAATAATGGCTGGCTTCTTATAATATCATGCAATAAAAATAGGTACGCAACGCGTACATGTATCTGCGAAAAAACTTGATTCACATTTTGTATTTTCTTGAAAGAAACTGAATAATGAAGATGACATGGGACAATTGAAATATTTCATCACTTATTATAATGGCAGATTAGATTTAAAACAGGGCTGTACACAGCGGGGAGTGCAGCAGGGCAAATGCTACCCCCACCCTCGCACCGAGAAAATTTAACTAACTTTATAATGTGATTATGATTGTAACAGATAATTATGCAGTCAGGAAATAAAAATTTCATGCAAACAATATTCAAAGTGTCTATACAGCCGGCTATTTAGTAAACTGTCACCTGTCAATTCAATCCATACTCATCAAATTTTCAAAACTTTATTGTAATCATATGAAGCAAAAGTTATGTCACTTGTTGTTTGCACTTGCCAATGTTAACTGTTGAGTAACATACACAAAATATTTGGTGAACACGTCGAAGACCACTGAATAATTGAGAATGTTTTGAAGGTCATGAGTGAAGTATATAATTAAATTCCAGTTCTGTGCATGGTTAATGATATACCACACTGTTCGGTTTAACACGTACAGCACATTCACACAAAAACAATTGTGTTGTGGGAGATTATCGGTTTGAGTAGAAGGTATCACAAGTTTAGTTTTGTACATTGTGTGCCATTGACCAAATCCACCATATAATATATGATTATTCATTGTAGCTGTTAAGTTATTTTCCATACTAATGAATTTAGGTAAGATTGTCTTGCAAGTTGGTTGTTCTGACAAAATTATCCAGCCAATATCCAGTACATTTATTCTTCATTCTTGTATTAATCTGTAAAGAAAAATGTAATGAGGCTCGGGAGGGTGAGGATTCTTTTATTTGAAAATGTTTGTAAAAATTTTGTTTAATTAACTCTAATGTGTAAAACCAAAACGTATAAGTATTATACATGTAACTGATAACATCTTCAACCTTTGCTCTAACACTACATTTGATGACAGCTTTATAGTTGCATCGACTGTTGTTATGGAGTCAATATACAGAAATACAGGAGCAGGATTTAATTCAATATCTCCTGAGAACTGTTCAATAGGTTCCTTTGATATTGTTAATTGGCAATATTGCCTGCTATGTTTTCACTGTTTAAAATATTACAGAAGTCACAGAAGGATTGTTTTTAATACTGTATATAAAATCTTTTTGTGAACTATGTTGACAAATGGCTTAAAATATCCTCGAAAATATCCAATATTTTACACAGTGACCACAGTGTAATATATTAAACAAAAAAATTCCAGAGTGCAATAGTGCATTCCATGTAAACTCTATGCCGAAGATACGGCAATATCAATTCTTTATTCCGTGGCAATATAAACTATAGATAGTATAGTATTAAATATTCAAAGTGGCTATATCTACGGGTCCGTAAACAGACTTCGCCAGGCTATAATTAAATATTTGCCGAACTGGCGAACTCATGTATTATTAAATAATATGTGGGACATATATTTGCACAAATTTGGTATTTAAATATATAATATGTGGTATTTGACTACTTACCAGATGAGGATAAGATTCCATGTTGATAAATAACTCCGGAATAAAAAAGAGACAGCCAATTCAAGATAAATTGATAAAAATATCAAGATATTTTTGAAACAATAACACGATTTATACACGAGGCCTGACGAGGCTAAGTATGCCCGTTCGCAGGTTAGATGCGGGCACGACGTAAACAATGGATGTAAACGAATCGCTGATTGGCTTAAATTGGCATAAAATGGTTTAAATTCTATAAGCTCGTCGCTGAATGGCTATGTGTTAACATACGGTAACATTACGGTACGGTACGTTTGCGACAGCAATATATCTGCTTCGCAGATACAAAAAGTGGAACAAAAGCCATAATTGGGAAAAAATGCTATTTTACCCAAAATCTGGGGTGACGTCATCAGTCCATACCACGGTTTTTCGCTCCCAGAGAAAATACCCTGGGTACGAGGTTGCACAAAAACTGGCCTTCTCATAGCAATTAATGAAATTAATCAGAGTTATCTAGAATATGCCTATTTAGATATGGTCCAGAGAGTAGACAGAATATATATAATTTTACTTGCCAACCGGTGACCACTATATGCATATGTGGGTGTACAAACCTGCACCAGTGCATATGAGGGTTTACAAACCGTACTTTTAAAAAATTACATGTATCTAGTCTTCACAGGTTGCAAATATTTGAATAAACTCTTTTGAAAAGCTCACACTAAACCGTTCACACTAAAGCAAAAATTACTTTCACATGCATGTAAGGTCTAATACACTGAATCACAGAACAAAATAATAACCAATCCTACTATAACATATTTTTAATAAAATAATAATATTACAAATGTTGTTAAATAGTACTGGCCTGGTGCTGGCTTGTGAACAGTCTTTAACGTGCACTTTAAGCTCTTGTATTCCAAAGCTTTTACCACAATTCATGCACTCTATTTTCGGAGATTTTGGGTTTGTAGCCTGTGAAAAATGAGAAAAACATTTAATTAATCATGTTAATTCAGAAATGTTCATATACTATGACATCAAATGTACACTCAGTAACATACTGTTACATCAAGAAAAATTAATCTTACAGGGTACTGTATGTCCATAAAATAACATCCAACCCTAATTATGCACTGTCAGCATGAAAGGCACCATATTTTTCATTCCAAGTAGGCATGCTTGCATGAAAACAATTGTAGTCTGTGACAGAGTGAATTAACATTTTAAACTTACATCAAATGACAGCCGTGAAGTGTCTAGATTGGCTTGTAATGGTCGAACAAAGACAACTCCAGAACCAACCACACCCCTAATATATGGAATACTATAGCCTTCTGTTCCAGGAGGAATCACTTGCAGTCTTCTTTTGCCTCCACCACCCCCAACTGCCCTCAGTAGTTCAAATCCGCCACCTGCTTTAAGTCTGGGGAATTCAGACTCTAAAAACTTTTGGAATTCTGAGTGTGAGGCATTTTTATTAGGGCACACTAATTTTCGTCGACCTAATCCAGCACTCAAGAGGGTATCACCTTCTTCATGACCAGGTGAAAATAACTGTGTTGTGGATGATAGAGTGTAAAAATCATGTGTCCATGTCTCTTTGGGCACAAAGGGAATCAGACTTCGACTTGCACCCATTGAATTACGTGTAGGTGTTGATTTTCTATTGTTTGATAGATAAGGTCTTTTCGTTTCTCTGGAACATAATCCTGGAAAAGCTCTCCTACAGAATGAGTAATTACATATTTTAAACACGATCATCGTAGTAGAAAATTGATGATGCTTCATCAAGTCCATAGGACTTGAATTGTCATTTTGAATTAATGTTAGACTACCCAAGTACTGTATGTATAGTAAACAAGCTGTGGAAGCCCCTTTTAATACTCAGATTGCCTATTCATAATGGATAATTATGAATGAATATATGAATGATTCACAAAATTAGTACAGAGGCTTTCATGTTTTGATCTCTTTCATGATTGTAAGTTTAAGTATACAGTGTTAAACTTAAAATGGCAAGTAAACCCACATTTAGTTCTGGACTTATAAAGGAAATGAACAACTGCATCACTTGGGAATAATGGGTGTTTGGGTCATCCAGGGGCCACAACTTGCAAAGCCAGCTCCTCCCAGATAGAATACTGCTATCATAATGGCTGTTAAATCCCTGCAACCCAGCCATAAAACCCACACTCGACCCCAGACATATGTCACATTCATTAATTGAATCAGTCAAATAAAAAGGGCCATGAATCCCCACGAAAAATTGAACAAATAATACCAAGCGAATACTCTCAAGTACAATCCAACTTCCCACCTTAATCTGGCATGTCTGAGCAGTATTCACTAAGTAACTTAGTTATGCATTCAACTGCATTTTATACTGGAGAAAATAAGTCCACAACTTACATAAGAGGTGTCTTATTTTAACTGTGCTTATACACATGGTCAATTATTCAAGTTGTGAATTAAATAAGAACAGCAGTTCAGACTGACCACACTACATAACTCTCAACTTATTAGAATGTGTTTGTGTCTTATGCAAGTCGCGACTTATTTTCTGCCGTTTGGCGCTTTTGTTAGTTTATATACTGTATGTAGATTAATATTTAACTTCCTGAGGAATATTGAGTGATATAATAATGGACATTACATAGTGCATCGCCATTGAACAATTGACCTTAGAAGTCCTTATGTCACATCACTGTCAAACAATGAATATTTGATCCACATGTAACACATGTTTCCCACATTCCACTGCGTATACCTAATGTTTAGATGGATTGAAAATTGCGTGACATAAGCACTTCCAGAGACAAAATTACATAAAGTTTTGGAATCATTTTAGCCCGGTCCCTCTCACATTGTCATCAATAGTCATCAGACTACTTACACCCTTTAAGTGGCAATGCACCCTGATGCACCCCACTTTTGTATTTTACCCCGTCTAACACCAGATTATTTTACTCTGTCTAACACCAGACGATTTTACTTTACTTTACGATTTTACTTTGCAACTGAGTACAGCCGCAAAAAAGACTGTCCACCTGCTATACAGGCTATCTAGGTGTTAAAAAGTGAATGCTCAATAACAATTTACAAATTATTTCCATTTAATACTCTATAATTTGTTTACAAATGTTGATGTAAATGCTGTACATGGTAATTTCTTTGTAGGATTGCATGGGCGATAAACGATAAACATATAATGGGCTGTGCCAATTATTACCGCACCACCGCTGTTGAGAAACCTTGGAATTTCTAGGGGAGGGGGTGCATTAGCCCTGGAATTTCCAGGGAAGGGGGCATCCAGGCTCTGGAATTCACATGGAATTTCCAGAGGGAGAGGTAAATTTCATGGGATGGAAATTCCATGGGAGAACATATGTTAGAGGGAAATTCCGGGAATAAATGTCCCATGATGGAAATTCCATATGGAGGGGCAATTTACACATGGAAATTCCATGGACCGGGCCAAATTTTAAACGTAAATTCCATGGGTAAGGCCTAATTTAAAATGGAAATTCCCTGGGCAAGGGTAATTTTTACAACTGAAGGAAATTCCATGGGAAGGAGTAAATTTTATATGAACATTTGCGGAAATTCCAGGGTACTGTGAGAAAGGGGTTCCTCAACAGGGGGGTGTTGGGCAAAGGGTGGGGATTATAATTGGAATAGCCCAATATTTTTTGTTTGTGGTAATGCACCGGTCCTACAGTATAAATGTTAACCCCAAGGGGGGGGGGGGGTGTTGGGCAAAGGGTGGGGATTTGATCAATCAGTTTGTCCCATGTGGCAGGATTTTGACTGACACTTTTTTGCTGAGTGGCCAGAGGTTGGGGATTTTTGACAGATTAACACTGATCTCAGATGATACCTGAGCCGATTTTTGAACAAACTGAAGACTTGGCACTAGTTCATGCCCAGCATCTAACCTGCAAACAGGCATACTATGGGTACAAGATTATCTTGCGTGTTGTTTTCAGAATTGTTTTCACATGAAATATGGAGATTTCTGGACAAGAAATAAACACTTATAAGCCATTTTATATATTAAATACTTATATGTTAAAATTTTGAAACATTCATTATATTTGTAATAGTTTTAAATTATATCATCCAAAAGTATTCGCATCATTTCCCTATCACCTGACGTATACAGTAGAGTGCACCAGAAACCAAATACTTCATGAATGCAATTTCATCCCAGGGGTGGGGCATTTTGCCCAGAAAATTTGGCCAGAGAGTGGCATTTGACATTTTTTAATGTAAAAATGTCAAATCCCCCTTTCCCCCTCCCCCCTTGGGATTAACATTTATAGGTGTGTAACACCATGTTAATTTATTAATCACTGCAAAGCTTTCAATCCGTAAGCCTGGATCTTCATCGGTGCTAAGGGGGAGAAACCATAGGGCCATTCCATTTAATATGGGCACCCCCTGGTCTGGGGGGGGGTTCTGGATATCCTATGGGGGGGAGGGTTTTTTTACCTTAAATTTTCCTATAGGGTAGCTTAAGAGATTTTCTAAAAAAGTTAAATAGCAAAAATTAGGTGTTTTAGTGATATCCAAGGTGGCAAAAATATCCTAAAGGTGGTATAAAGATATCCATGAGGTAACTTCCAAAAATCGCATCCAAGGGGGTTCTAACATTTTTGTATCCTAAGGGGATTATAAAGAGACCCCCTCAATAGGGGGGGGTGTGATATTAAATGGAATGACGTTTGTGGGTGTGTGGGTTATTTTCTTAGACGTTTTGCCTTTGACAGTTTGACACTTTTAAATATTATAAAAGTACATTTAAAATTCTTTTGTATAATATAAAATTCTATTTGTATTATGCACTTTTAATAAAATCACAAACCTGTACAATATTTTCCCTATTCAATGAAAATATACAAAACAAACAAATTTTCTTACTTTGCCAGAAGGTAAATCAAGGCTTTTGATTTACTTGTTATGTTTGTTAATACAAGTATTTTCAAGTATTCACATTGTCACGGATTGACATTTCTAGGGTGGGTGGGTATGAAAAAGAAACATCAAATTGACATTTCTCGTGGCAAGTTGAGTATGGATGCCCCCCCTAATAATATGTGGCTAGTTTCCGTGTACATCTCGTGTTGTTTTGAAAGCTTTTAAATAACAAAGTACGCTAGAGTCACACGTCCGCTATGGCTCGCAGCAAAAATGCAAAATGCCAAAATTTACATAAAACTCGTAAACAATCTTTACCCCATCATCTATATTCTTATAAAACTTACCGAAAATTATGGGCCGGCCGATGTAGATGGACTGGCCGACAGTTCAGTTTCAATTTGAGTAAGGGCATTCTTTAAAAATTCCGAAGCTTTTTGCAAGGACATCTTTACTGCACGAAGTATTCACAGGAAGTAACACATGCTACGTGAAGGAACTCGAAGGTTGCCCGGGCTTTTCCGAGCGTACATGATTCCATACAGGAAGTTAAGGTGGTTTGATACAGTTTTGAAAAAATTCAAGTGTTCAACACTTTGAAATGTTCAAACTACGTATTTTTAGGATTTATTCAGCAGATATTGTTTTTTTTACATATTTTGTTATCTCTACTTTCAAATTATATTAGTTTCAGTAACAGACAGTTCGTTGCTATGACGACATACGTGTACAAAATTTACTCCAAAATGGGCTATCGTCTGGTATAGTTGGAAAAGAAGCATGGTGACCCCCAATTTTTTTCGTGCATTATTTTACTTGGACGAAAAGCTAACAATTAGAAAAATATAAAAAATTCTGTAGTTTAATTTTTTTTTTTTAATTAATTTGAAAATGTCGTACTCTTCGGTAAAATGTTTTGGCATTACAGAATTCTTGTTTTTTGAGTATAATGAAAGTTTTTAGCGGTGCAATACAGCATGCAAAATTTTAACATAGGTCACCAATAAAGATATAGCGCATTGTTTTTCTAAAATGGAAAATTCTTAGAATACGCGCAATGACGTGTATGGCACGAGCAACTGCTCACGTCAGGTCATTTTGGAAGTTTAATTAGGAAAACACCATTAATGGTAAATATTAAACATAATGGGTTTTTACCAATTTACCATACGGGAAGTCTGTAAATAACCAATAATTTTATAAAAATTCAGCTTAATTGCATTGACAGTATACATGGTAAATATTTAAAAACTATTCAAAACCCATTAAACGGAAATTTAAATTTTCTTCCTGCGAATGTTATCGACTTAAACTGTGCTAGAAGTATACATTTTAAAGGCACAGTTCAGCCTTTTGAATTATGGTTTTTAAGGCGCATTACAACCCTTTTAATTGAAAAACTAACTAGGAAATCAATTAAGCATAATTGAAGATCAGTTAAAAACATGTTAAAAATACTGAGTTCACTGATCTTCAATAATGCTTAACTGATTTTCCTAGTTAGTTTTTCAATTAAAAGGGTTGTAATGCACCTTAAAAACCATAATTCAAAAGGCTGAACTGTGCATGCCTTTAAATGAAATTACATACGTTTGTCAATTTGGTCCAGTAAGTCTTTGCCAAAGATGTGCCAAGGAACCTTTAAACAACTAACTTTAGTCGGCTGACCGACGAACGAGGACTTGAATTCCTCTCTTCGACCATTAACTTGCGCAACCAGGTCGCGCACATTGCTGTCACTTGGTGGATCAGCCAGTTTACCATCATTGATCACACCTAAGGCTTTATGTAAAATGAAGACGATGAACATTTGGGTGGTCTTCTTGGATTTCACTTTGGGCCTCATCCACTGACCAACCTTGAAATAAATCATAGTTATACTGTAGTTGTAACATAGGAAAGGATAAAATATCGGCTATTTCAGCTAAAAATTAAAATAACTTTGCTATTGCGTGCTTACTATTGCAGCTGAAATACACTTACGGGAAAAATATACTCCATTGTTTATTACAACAGCAATAGCAGAGCCATTTCCATATTTCACTGTGCGTGCAGGGTTGACTGTATATACTTACATCATCCTTCGTCAAGTTCAATTTCTCCACAGCCTGCATCACGAGACGGAATACGTCTTCGACACTTGTTAATGTTTGCACACTAATGGCATAAATGGCTTTCACATACGGAAAGAATTCCGTCTCCAAGTAATTATCGAGACTTGCGGGGGAACATATATCTTCATCATCAACTAATGTGATTATCTATATAAAAGGATCGAAAACACCTGACTGTTTAAAGGTTCTACTCTTGACAACATAAACAAGACCCTAAAAAATGTTGCCTTATATATCTAAAGGAAGTCAGTTCTACGATCATCAAAACAACCTCCCAGGGTCTTATCTTCGCACGCCCCTCCCTTTTACAGTTACCAAAATGCATTTGCAAATTTATTTTAGTTACGTGCTAAATGGTCAAAAACGTTTATTGCATGCATGGAGTGATATAATATAATATATGCATACTACATGGTAGTTCACGTTTAATCAATCACATTTATACAATTTGAATTGATGGTGATAGTTGAAATTGATGGATAGATGAGGTGATAGTTTTATTTACGGAATTTGGTTTTACTGCTTTTTGGGATTTACCATCCTTAAGTCTTAGATCGTGAAACTTCCTGATTTTCGGGAAATGTTGTAATTTATATAAGAATGAGTCGAAGCTCAAGTGTAATATGTCCGGTTTGACACAAAAACTATGTATACTGATTACTAACCTTGTGCGCCAACAACCTATAGACAGCGTAGATGTCCGAAAGCCTGGGTGATAACTCGCTCAGATGTTTTTTAAAATATTTAATATGAACGGCCAGGTTCTCTCTATTTATCTCTTCCCCCATTTTAATTATATCAAACAAGCTGTGTCGTAACTGCTTTGAAGATCTTTTTTCTTGCCTTCAGAAAGCTCCCAACATCTTCATCTTGGTTGTTCGCCAATTTATTGAACCAAATTGGCGTTGTTCGTTCAAAGGATCTAGCATTAATATAAACAAAACAAATTAGCTTGCACATTAATGCCGAGCATAATTCACTCGCTTACCCTTAAGTTCTATAATTGTCAAGTCATTATTGTGATCAGCAGGCCGGGCACTCTTGGGTAGTCTTGGGTATTAGAGACCTTGATGTCCATGATCAATCATGTTTTTGCTCGTGGCAGTGCTCTGGTTTCTATAAATGAATACAAAACCCAGTCGAATTGCATTCACAACCCACCATTTCGGCATTTCAGTCTAAGCACTGCTTATTTGCCAAAAGAATATCTGTACCTTGTTGGCCGACAAGGTCATCCCATGCATGGGTATATAAGAAGCCACTTTGCGACTTAGATCCCTGATGAAGACACTAGACTGGAGTGTTGAATGGGCTTTGTATTCAATGATAGAAACCAGAGTAGCGAACTAAAACATGATTGATAACGTAAACTCACAAACGTTAGAGTCCAACAATGTTGGGTGATGTGGGACTAACATGTTAGCTTCGTGTGAACGGGTCCTAAGCAAACGACGTTTTTGACAACACAGACGCCAACCGAAAAAAAAACTGCCGAATGAAGGCGTAACTCAATTGTGTTCCAGTCAGCGTATGTGTTGTCAAAAACGCCGCTTGCTTAAATTAAGCTCTCTATTAAATATCAATAGGAGAATATCGATTTCTTTTAAAGTTGGGGTAAATGGCGTTCTGGGGCATGGAAGTTTTTTTCAACACAATATCATCTTGTTAATCTAGTAATGAGATTAATTGCATATAATGAATCAATATAATTTGCATGCAGTGTTACACAAAACTATACCTCAAATCATCATCGAGCTTGGAATTAACTGTTAAGACGAATGACGTCAACGGTTTCTTGCTCCCTCGTTCTTTTGTCTGGTTTCCGAGACCTTCGAAAACGGAAACCAAAGGGGTTCATAAAATAGATGGGTGTGTTGGGTTATCCCAGCACAAAGGAATCGAACACCGTGTCAGCTTGGAGATGACAAATTGCCCCGACGAATGCGAGACAATCTGCATCCCCATTAATTTCCTGGTTACTTTTAGTGCTGTCGACTTTCCACTTGCAGTTTCACCAACAGCAGTAGTGACAGGACAACAATCTGTTAAATAAATATTATAAATTGATAAATCTAACAGGATTATTTTAACTCCAGTTCTAACTCAAAATATATATGTGGAAAACAAGTAGAAGACAATCGTCCTGTAAGGTAAATCATATTTGTCCGTCGTACTGACACTGTCTAAAAATATGTAGCACACATGCACTTACAAGTATTGTGGAGTATCCGTTTGCAGTGAAAGGCTGCAAAACCACCACTTAAAAAGAACATAAAAGGCATGAAATTCTTGGAGAAAAAGGATTTTGCCTGGCCGATGAAGTCGTGCCAATCAAACACCTGCACAGGTATATCCAAACGGACTTGATGTGGGTGGGCCTGCAAGTAATGTTTCACCAACTTGTCAGTTTGCGCTGAAGGAATTCGGTGAAGATATGGAACCATCCAAATATACTTCCACTGCTCCTCTGGTATAACTCTATCACGGTTTATCTATGTTAAAAATAAAAATAAATATTAGTATGCATACTGCTATCTGCAAGTTTCAACATGCTTTTGTTTATTTAGATCATGTAACCTTTAATCTTTAAATCACTTTATTAAACCACTAGAATTGGTAAAATTGGTAGGTACAACAGGTTACCCCAATTACTACACTCCCAAATTACAAGCAAATAACATTACAAGCTACCACAACAACACACACATAGAAATGCCTTTGAAAAAAAAAGACAAGACATGCCAAGACTTGTAGACAACAGTGCACAAGTTGCATACAATGAACTAGCACGAAATATCACTGGTACAAAACGTAACACGAGATCTTGTAGCTCAATGATCATAGTGTTTGTCCCCATGGTCATGACTCGGGAGCTTTCTTAGATGTATATTCTTGATACAAAGAGCATGCGCAACTGATATTACATAATATTACAAGAAACCACGACAACGCTTACAGGTATATAGAAATGTCTTATATTGTTTACTGGCTTTACTTACCTGAGTACTCTCATTTAGCACATAGACTGACGAGTAGAAGTCATCTCGTTTTTTACGAGGGTCATCTTCCTCCATATATTCCTCTCTATCATTGTCGATGAATTCGTCATCATCATCCACCAGCCTGAAGTTAACCTGTCTTCCGATGATCACAGTGCCCCGACGGTCGGTGCCATTATTTGAAATGAAATCATGCAGCATAGCCATGGCATAGCTAGTAAACTGCTCGTCGCTGCAACTTTGCCAAAAGACACTGCCTTTTTCACTGAAGGTTCGATTGATTGCAGCTTTGAACTTCTTTGCTGAATCAATTTCATTGCACAATACAAAACATTTCCTGTGTTAAAAATAAGTTTATTATTATAATATAAACCGAAATATAAACCAATTATTTGAAAGACTTCGTCAGATAGAAGGGGTATACTATTTAAATTATGCTTTATGCATTTTGATTTTAGCTAATGAAATCATTAGAAACTTTCTAGTGAATTCAAGGGCATTTAATTTTCTGCTAGGTTTACGAATTTTATGTGTCATTTATCTTGGGAAAATCATAAATTAGCTCAAACTTTTTAAAGGAATGTTACTTTTCAGAAAAAAAATTGTACAATAATAAATCAATAGTCACAAAAATCACGCAGTTGTACAATACAGGGTGTGTAAAAAAAAGGTAATCGCATTTCAGCGCGCTATTGTACCTGAATTACTCTGCATACGAACAAGATTTTTTCGTAAAGATCAGGCTTTTAACTGTTGATTTTCATGCCAAATAGATAAAAAGTGAGCAAGTACGAGTCCGATAAAAAATGTTAGAGTCGCATATTTTCACCTCTGTGCCTTGTCAACGTGTCATAGCTTAGGCTCCTTAGCCGAGATTTATTCGATATCATTATCGTACCCAGAGCCCTTCCAACACGCGGTTAACTGAGCGGGGCTCTGGCAAAATCCAAACCGGATACTATAAAAACATGGTATCTGGTTAAATTAATTTTTATGGTGAGAAAAGACCCTGGTCATGTGCTGTGTTTAACTAGATTCCATGTTTTTATGGTTTCGTTTAAATTTGTTTTTATGGTGAGAAAAGACCCTGGTCACGTGATCTGCTAAAATCTAACAATCCACGATTTTTATAGTTTAATTTATAATTTGTATTTTGTATAATTGTTGTAAACTGAGGAACCCAAGATAGTTAATTAGAAATCTGCTAGATTTTAGCAGATCACGTGACCAGGGTCTTTTCTCCCCAAGAGGAAAGACCCTGGGTACAAGGTTGCCAAATGTGTACCACGCTACTAATATGTATTCCAAATCATGCACTCCTTGTTTGTTTCAAGTATAAATGCCTATAAATGCCATAATTATAATAATTTTTTACTAACCTCCCTTGCTTGGTATGAACAGAGAAATATTGGATCTCGGTCTTTTGTACAAACCTCGCCCTACAGGCTCGGTATGAACAAAAAAGACCTAGGTCCGATATTTCAGCTGTGGAGTGGTAAGCGTACACTTTTACAATAAGTGTGCAGTTAGTGAAGAACGCACCATATTGACAGTATGTGTATGAATATCAGACATGGAGGCATCTGTGAAATGGGCCTTATGCAGATTTCATCCAATTTACAGAAATTTCAGTTACAATATGTATGTACTGTTTAATAAACGAGCAGGAGTGTTTTATTAAGTTTAAAGCCACGAAAACTACACTGGCGATTTTCAAATAACTTTCAAACAGGATTCAAAACTTCACGATGAACCGATGTGCAGAACAGAACAGACCTGACTTCCACTTTAACTAAATTTTGTATACAACAGTTCATGAAGGCGTTCGAAAATAATCAGCACTTATATTTTTCATGACCGCTGTATCTCGGGAGGAATGGACCAATCCCCAATTAACCACAATTTTGAACTCAGCAAGTCTAGACAAAAATTTCATCACAGCTTGAAAGAGCATCACAATGTTAGTAATAAGTTTCATTGCAAAATATTGTAATTTTGTGATGCTTTTTCATGCTGTGATGAAATTTTGTCTAGACTTGTTAAGATCAAAATTTTGGTTAATTGCGGATTGGTCCATTGATCCTATTTATTCAAAATTTTTGGTGAACACTCGTAATAATGATATAAAAAACATATAAAAGTTCAGTATTGTAACTGAAATTCCTGGAAATTGGACGGAAACAAATTAAGGTCCATTAACGCTGATAGCTAAAAATTTTGAATTTCTGACATTTGACTGATATAAATTGCTATTACTGATAGAAATTTTAAAATTCCAAGGTAGCTCACAGAAAAAATAAGTTGTATTGTTGAAACGTACACAAAAAACTGTCTATAGAGCATTAAAGCAGTTTTTGATTTGCCAAATCGTTTTTAAGTTAATCAGTTTCGAAATCGCACAAAAGAGAAAGAAAAAAGTAGGTGCAAAGACTGGCACTATCCCCAAATCTCCCTTTTTTAACAGGGTAAAAAAAAATTAAATAAATTCCTATAAATAATTCCTTGGCTAATGTATGAAAAAATCCCATCGTGTTACGCATATAACCAGATCACATGAGATGGACAATACATATTTGCTGAAATTCGTCCAGACACGTAATGCGTCTCTCTCTATAGCTATATATATTATATAGACGTATAAAAATGGCATTGTCCTTTGACTTTGTCTTGCGGCGCCGTAAAAGTTAACTAACAAACACGATACAAATATAACTAATTTTAAATTGCTTTAAAAGAACAATACTTACATTGACACACCGTCAGTGCGATGGACATTTAAAATATAGCCATTCAACTTCTTGAACGCCGCTGCAAACTTCACAAAGGTATGTATTGTGAGGTAAAAGTTGGCAATAGGATTGTAGCGATCTTTCTCAACTTTTTTGTGTAGCGCTCTGACACCGTCTCCTGCTTCTCTCACGGACAAACTCTTGTGAGGCAATGTGCCGAACATGGTTTGATTTTATAGCACTGTCAAATGAAAAAGAAACAATATTATAATTTGGTAACATCTTAGAAAAACATCAAATGTAAGATAGACACAAACGTTTTAGTATAACTTTAAAACATACACACCTTTTTGGTTATGATCGTCGTAATTCTCTTACAGAAAAGCAGTCTCGAACAAGCTCTGAGCGAAGGTAAAGCGAATAATGAAACGGTAACCAGGTGCATTTTTATAATGCACGATGGGCGCGGCGTCACTGCACAAAGAATATTGTTATCTATGCACAATAGTCAATGGTGTCAATGCACAATGGTATCAATGCATAATGAACAATAGTAGCTTTGAAAGGCGCGCGTGAGGCCAACTGGAAACAAATTTGTTACTATAGAACAATCAAAAATTATTTATGTATAGTTCTATATTATAAAACACAATTTATTGCATTCTCAGTGCACTTAAAAACAATTTTGCACAGTTGTTGTCTGAAAGTTACAGTTCACATTTTAACACGCAATCATTAGCACGGCAGTACTTTATACCAAATCACATAATATAACGTTCATGTTACGATAGAACTCTAGCACGGCAGTACTTTATACCAAATCACATAATATAGGGTTCATGTTACGATAGAACTCTAGCACGGCAGTACTTTATACCAAATCACATAATATAGCGTTCATGTTACAATAGAACTTTAGCACGGCAGTACTTTATACCAAATCACATAATATAGCGTTCATGTTACGATAGAACTCTAGCACGGCAGTACTTTATACCAAATCACATAATATAGCGTTCATGTTACGATAGAACTCTAGCACGGCAGTACTTTATACCAAACCACATAATATAGCGTTCATGTTACGATAGAACTCTAGAACGGCAGTACTTTATACCAAACCACGAAAACGGCGGTACTTTATAAAAACGGCGGTACTTTATACCAAATCACTCTAGAACGGCAGTACTTTATACCAAACCACGAAAACGGCGGTACTTTATACCAAATCACGATAGAATGTCAAACAATGAAATCGCATCACTATCTTTCATTCTCAACCCTTTTTAAAGCAACATAAATTATATTTACATTACAAAGCATCAGAAATTTGAAAAAAAGCAGATATATGCCGAATTCATGCATGAATATACAGCGCCAGGCACGATAGAACGCGTTCTTAAAATTTTTTTTGCAAACTGACCACTTATTTTAGGCATGGTATAAATATCTTCAACAAACCACAGAGAGCAATTGTAAGCACAACTTTCAATTTCATCAAGGGGATAGTTATGCAAACATATTGGACATTGTATAGTACCCTTAGAAGTTGATGGCAAGGGTGTGCAATCTTCTGTTGTGTTCTCACCTTCTATTGTAAGTATCGGCACAGAACTTGAGTTGTTACTATCAGTTGAGGAAATAGGTTTGTTGGTAGTATAAAGAATAGATGAACTGAGCAAGTCTTCGTCGTCATCATCACAGGAGTCATTCATAAGGTTTTCCATAAAATCAGTTGAAGAACAAAGATAAAAGGTGATTCAACTATAAGCCTTCTCGATTTCATCTTTGTAACGTTGTAGACTAAACAGTTCCCCTATACCAGGAAGATTGATGACTTGATTCATAGTAGAATACAAGAGCTGGTATTCGTATTCAGAGGAAGTACCGTTTACCAAGTTGTTGTTGAATCTGCTGTGCTTCTCGAAAGCTTTCGTTAGCAACTCTTTTCTTGTAATTGAAGGCAACACAGTCAATGGAAGTGTGGCACCTATTTTGCTCGATAACCTCCCATCCTTCAAAATCACTACACCCACGGTGATTTTTACTTCTTGTGTCTGTTTTTCTTCTGTTTTTGCCTTTGACTTAAAATATATTGACCTCTCAACTTCTTTCTGCGCACGAAACAAACTAAACATCGAAGGCACGCTTTTTCTCTCAGCCGGTATACCATGATTTAATGTATCTGAAGAACCATTTTGGGAAGGTGAGTTTGCATTACCATTCCCGCTGTTAGTTAAAGACTCTTTCCACAATTATGACAATATTTTGCATTAAGAATTGGAGGTTTACCACAACAGAACATTTTGTACATTTTGCCAATTTCACATGGTAAATTGTAGCCAAGCCTGCCAACCTTATCAGCGGCTACAACATGTGATCACAGGTAATACTTCGTGTAGCAATGATATTACTATACAGGGTGTATAAAAAACCCTGAACAGATATGAATTTGCTCTCAATTTCGTAAAACAGCTATTAGTATCCAGTTTTTGATGTATATAGCTTAGTTTTTGATGTATATAGCTTCTTTGGGTACTTATAATGTAGAATAATGAAAATTTTCGGGTACTTATAATGTAGAATAATGAAAATTTCATCAAACTCAAATTTTGTGAACCAGGGGGTGTGCGGTACTTATAATGTAGAATAATGAAAATTTCTCAAACTCAAATTTTGTGAACCAGGGGGTGTGCCTTTTCCGACAAACTGAAAATGGCTTGCACACAAAATTTAAAGGCTTTAAGAGGCAATTTTTTTCAATGTCACGTATTTGCAATGAAAAGTGTTTAAAACCTAAAATCGTTTTGGCGTTCCTCTCAAAATTACTTTGTTTTAGCTTTGTTCTCTAGTTTATAGAGTAAGCTACCTTTTTAAATGCATCTGCCAGTTGAGAAACATAAAATAATAGTTAACTAGAAGTTACTATCGCAAGGGAAGTGCTGCCTCAGCACCAAAGTCCTGGGGATTGATTATACCAATAAACTTCATTTACTTAAATTGCCTTATAGACACTGTATGTATGAATTTATTTTGTTTAAGAAATATCGAAATTATAACATGCAATAATTACTATATATACTATTATAACGTGTACTTCGGATTTTCATATTTAAATGTATGCTTGTGATTGTTGGTACCAATGTTTTAACGATCTTCACTTGTCAAAACGTCTAGAAGAACACACTTAGGAACATACACGATATGTCTTTTAACCTGATATGACCAGTTTGTTGCAAGTTTTGATATTCTTTCTTTCCAAGGTAATGATAGTCCATACTGTATTTTCCATTTGGTAAACAAGTCTTACACTATTCGTTTTTTGTCCAATATATAAATATTTCGTATTTATTTAGCATGTACAGGTAGTATCCATTGTTGGCCATCATTATTGTCCAATAACTTGTTAGGTTACTGTACATACTGTATAAAGGTATGTAATATCTTGACATACAATGTTCCTGACATCCATATGGTAGATTGGAAACAAGTACGGCAGAATTCAGATTCCATCCCATTGCATTAGATGTAATATATCCATACAAACTTGTAAATCAGCATTCTTGTTTTAATAGCTAGAAATACATTTCTGTTAATCCAGAAGCTCCCATCGATTTTCATGCGATGTAATCTATCCATATTATATTTTGACTTTAACAACCATTTGGTTTCATCCAGCAGTTAACATGGCACCATTCACATCCGTCAGAATTGCAAAACTATAGAACAAATAATTGCCAGCATGAGTTATTTACTTAGAAACATGGTAGCACATAAATGAATGAAAAGAAAAGTAGGGGAGGGGAGGGTTTTAATTAACAAACAAAATACTTACCATTATTTCAACTTGCAAATCATAATATTTTCATACATACAGTGATAACAATGAGTAAATTAGTTATTATATAATAAATTAAATTATTTAAAATGGTATATAGTCAAACTACATTCCAAAATATAACTGGGAACCATATATGAAATCCCTTTCTTATTCAACCTCAATAGTTTGTTGTTCTAAATGCACTGCTAGTAGCCTGTGCTAACTGATCTAGCCTGTTTTCTTCTTCAAGCCTATATTGTAAGTTAGCTGATGATTTCAAGCTTGTTAATCGTTCATACGTCATAGGTTCAATGACACAAGATGCAAGTGATTTTACTCTACCAATAGCAACATAGGAAACTCCAGCAGTTCTTTCAGATTTGCCAATATCTATCCATGCTTTTGGAAGCGTAAGTCCTTGGCTCTTGTGTATTGTTATAGCCCAAGCAAGCCTAAGAGGTAACTGTTGCCTCTCATGGAAACCTATTTCTGTCTGTGATGTGACAGTAATTGGATATATTGGGATACACAATGGTTGGTTTTCATTAAAAACAGGTCCTCTATAGTTTTCAAATTCTACTATTACTGCAATAGGTAAGTCAGGTGGTTGATGGTTGTTCTGATAGATAATATCAACAACTGTCCCAGTAGCCCCATTACAGAGACCAACACTTGACCACAAATTCATGGTTAACATGACCCTAGCACATTTTGCCAGAAACACAACAGGTTCTAACCCAGACATATCATCTGAGGATATCTTTTTGGCAAATGCTGATGAATGGCGTGCATTAATGTGAGCAATTGGATGCTCAAGTTTTGTTAGCTGCTCATGGTTGTAATTAGCAACTTGTTCATTACTATAAAAAAGTCTAGTAGAATCTTCAAAGTCACATAGATTAGTGACATTCGATGGTTGACGTGTCAGAAGTAATTTCCAGTCATCAACTGTTGAATCACCTTTGCGAAGTCGTAATAACAAATCTCTGAACTGTACTTGCTCAGATGTCATACCTTGCACACGTTGATTTACAGTGAGTTTAACAACTTTGTCAAACATATGATATGCTTGATGACCTTGTTCACCAACAGCGTTTGATGGTTTAGCATGGTAAAGAGGTTTATCTGCTACTGGTGGCAATTGACCTGGATCACCAGTTAAAATTAACGATTTTCCTCCAAATACTTTGTCATTAGAACCAGTTGCTTGTTTGCAACGCTTGTCTATCCAACCAAAAGTAACTTGGCCAAGCATGGAGTATTCATCAATAATGATGTATTCAATGTTATTAACACTCTCTTGTAACCTACACAAGCTTTGTCCTGTCAGGTCTTTATTACCTCTTGATCCTATAGGCAACTTTAATAGAGAATGCACAGTTACACCTCTAATGTTATAAGCTGCTTTACCTGTGGTAGCAGTAACAGCACATTTACTTTGCAAAAGATTTCTAATGGCATTAATAAGGTAACTTTTACCAGTTCCTGCAACACCATTTATAATGAGACATAATGGCTCGTTTTCAGATGATGTATCATGAAAATGAGACTTAACAATATCATAAGCAAGTTTTTGCATTTCACTAAAACTGTTGATGTCAACAACATCATATTGCTCATCAATAGTGTATTCCTCTTTGTTTGTTTTTATCCATGTTGGCATTTCTTGGATTTGTTGTTCTGAATAATTGGCTCTGTCAAGATGCCAGTCATATGTGGACTCTGGTGTTTGTTCAGAGTTGTCAAAAGGAGTGTTGAGGTCTGACAATATCATCCACTCATCTCGAGTTGTCTCCTGTCGTTCAGCAGGTTCACCTTCTGCTTCTTAGCTTTGAATGACAGCTTGTAATTTATCAAACCAGTCTGGGACATTAGACTGTCCATAAGGTGTTTGTAAAAATTCATGCCAACAATTGATCAGAACCTCGTCAGTTGGTTCTTGGTCACCCCATGCATTATTTTGGGTTGTTCTCCATGGTTTATACCTCAAAAGTTGATACTTACAATATAGGCCAAAATTTGGACCTTTGGGATTAGGAGAATATGTTGGAAATATTCGCGGTATAACATTCTCTGGCAATTTTGTCAGTTCATTGTTATTAACAACTTTATATGTTGTCGCAAATTGAACAAAGTTCATATTTATTATATTTTGTGAACTCTCATATTGTTCACGATTAGCATAGACATCAAGAAGTGAATAATCGGTGCACGATTCACTCTCTTCAATACTTGCAGCATCACGCACTCTACGTGAACCATTTAGACTAACTGGCATTACTTTAAAGGATGAGCTGTGGAGTTTTAAAGACAACAAATGATGCATTGTCTCTTGAGCTGCATAATCTCTTTCACCAAGAGATTTCAGAACTACCTTCTTAATAACTCTACGAGGGTCAGTATTACAGTCAACATTTTGCACAATAGAATTGAATGCTTGTTTTAATATAGGTGATCTTGGCTCACCTTTCGCTGCATATTTTGTGAGATATTCAACACAAGCATAGTGATCAATAACAACTTGAATATCACAGTTAGCTCTCCATCCTTGGAGCTGAAGTTGTTGATGGTTATTTAATCTAGAGTCATTTCGTTTAGTCACAATCTTAGCTCGATAATGCTCATTATCACTTGAAGAGTGAATTTTTTCAAATTCTAATTTTGTCTTAGGAGAAATATCAAAAGGGAAGTGAAATCTACATTTCAACTCTGTTTCATTTGACTTCTTTCTAAGACAATAACTTGTACTACAACGAGTGTGCCGTTGAACCATGTTCAAAAGATCTACATAATCTGATTGTTTTTCATGTTCTGGAATGTCATTATGACTTCTTTGACATGGATGAACCTCAGGTCTTATCCACATGTCCTCATCTGGTGGATTAGGATTGACGGTTGATAATAACCAATCAACATACTGACATACTGTGTCAGCTGCTTTCTGACCAGCTTCAATATCCTGGTCTAGTTCAGTTGTGTCAGAACAATCATTTTCATCTTTAAATTTTTGAGCTAAGAAACCTTTCAAAGCAGTCTGAGTCAGTTGACACAAACCTGGGTCATTATTTAGTTTAGCAGTACCATGACAATGGATACTACCTCTACCTTGATATTCATATCGAAACCAGTGCCATTTTGCACCAAGTGTATCGTAAAGCCAGTGTTTTACAAAGCTTTCTAATCTTTCTGTGAAAAACCAATCTACAACATGGGGATTGTTGATCACATTTTGTCGTCTTACGTCACTGGTAGAATCACCTAACTCATTGTCAGTATCAGCTTTAAATAAAGCATGTAACTCAGGCCAATGCATATCTGCAGAGGAGAAAGTGAAAAATAATGTTGGTGCTCCAACACTAGTTATGATAGCTTTGAGTTCCTCTCTTACTCTATTCCAGTAAGCATTAGTACCTGCAATATTGCCAACATATCTCGACACTTTAGACATAAATACATTAGCATTGTTACTGGCAGCCATTTCACGCAGTTCTTCAATTGTGAGATGAGCTTCACCTGGGTTCTGTTTGAGGAATATTCCACTTTGTTGTAAAATTCGTTTTCTTTGAATCATATTAAACGCCCAATAAGAAAATCTGGGGTGGTTAGCAAAACGGTATACCCATTTACCATCAATAATTTCAGCAAATTTTAGAAGATGCTTTATTCGTTCCTGAAGAGGGACATCTCTCAGAAGTCCTTGATTAGTAGGATCACCTTTCCCATCTGGAAATAATGTTGGGAAAGCCATTGTGGCCAGATGCGATATCTGATACTCATTTAAAGGCTCATTTTCAACTGAGGGCCAGGGCATTGGTTCATTTTCAGACAGCTGATTTCTAACAGCTTCAATTTCCGTTTGTTGTTGTTCACCAACAGGTAAAAAACTACTCATTTCAGTAGAGTCATTATAAACAATATCCTCTGATGGATTATCAGTAGGAGGACCTACATCAGGAGAACAATTGTCATCTGAGACAATATCATCATCAGTCTCAACAGTCATAAGACCTGGTGGTACACCATTTTCAGGTAAGGAATTTAATGCATCTTCATTAATTAATAACTCAGAATAATGTGGATTGTTATTGATAAGCCAAACTAAAGCATTGTGCACTTTTTGCTTTCGCACTGTCACATCTCTGAACGTGTTTTCTCTACCTTTAGCCTTGACAATAATCACATCCAAGTCTTTAGGATATCTTGGCAAAGACATTGCAAGTTCTTTGACATTTTGTGGCAGATTAATACAATGTCCTGAATAACCTCGTTGACCACCAGGTTTAATATAAACTCTCATGATAGGCAAAGCACGAGCAATTAACATTTCCTCAATCTGAGTTAAATTCTGCAATTCATGCGGAACACATGAAGATATCATTGAATTTTCGCAAGAAAATTTTTTTGGAGATTTTTTATCTCTAAAGCATCGTGAACACACATAAGGTGTCCTTGGTTTAGATTTCAAAGGCCATGCCTCCTGACATACTGTACACTGACTGACAATGTATTGCACAGACTTATTAAACTTATTAATGTTAGCCTTAGCCCAACATTGCTCTTCAATACCACCGTTATTGGTGTTGTCAAACATATTTAAATAATCCTGTTGATTTAATATTTCATGTTGAGGCTGTGACACTTTTTTTGCCCGCTTTTGTTTTTTATTAAGTCTATCTTTTTCAAGCCTTATTTGTCTGTTGGTGTCAGTTTCCTCTGACCGCTTTCTTTTTTTAGACTCACAATCCTTTTGAAGTCTAATTTGTTTTTCACTGTCAGTTTCCTCTGAACGTTTCTGTTTAGTAGACTGACTTATTTTTTTAAGTCTTAATTCCCGTTCACTGTCAGTTTCCTCTGAACGTTTCTGTTTAATTGACTCACTCATTTTTTGAAGTCTTATTTGCAGCTCACTGTCAGTTTCCTCTGAACGTTTCTGTTTAATAGACTCACTCATTTTTTGAAGTCTTATTTGCCATTCACTGTCAGTTTCCTCTGAACGTTTCTGTTTAATAGACTCGCATAATTTTTTAAGTCTTATTTTTTGCTGACTGTCAGTTTCCTCTGATTGCTTTCTTTTTTTATACTCACTAGCTTTCTTAAGTCTAGCTTGTTTATCACCTTCATTTTCTAATAAAAGCCTCTTTTTTTGGACATTCTCTTGATCCTTTACACTCTTACTTTTTTGCTCAGAAGCTTTACATATATTTAATTGCACAGGTACAATTTCAAATAAATTGGCATGTAATGTCATTGAAAGAGAATACAAATATTGTTCTAATTCTAGAATATTAGCAAATTTCATGACAACAGCAGTGCCATTAGGATCAGGCATGCCATTAGAGTCTCTGGCATGGGAGTCAAATAAATAGAAAAAATCTGCTTGCTTCATCAATGCCATCATATAGCCTTCTAATATTAAAATAGTATAACTATAATTTGAAAACACATTCAAAAGTGCTGTGTGAATGTCATAGTAGTGTGACTCAATTTCTCGGTTGGTTATAACAAGACCTTGAAGCTCTTTTCCATAATTTATAAACCAAATTTGGTTTTCATTGTTTGCCTCATTAGGCACCACAGAATTGTGCTCTAGCCCAATGGATAAATCATTGTTACTTTTTGCCACAATGGGCAGATGAGTGATACTTTTTGCCTCAACGGGCTCTACCACAATGGGTAGACTGTTGTTATTTTGTCGTACCACCACGGGTAGACTGTTATTATTTGGTCGTACCACCACGGGTAGACTGTTATTATTTTGTCGTACCACCACGGGTACACTGTTACTGTTTTGTCCTACCACCACGGGTGGACTGTTATTATTTTGTCGTACCACCACGGGTAGACTGTTATTATTTTGTCGTACCACCACGGGTAGACTGTTACTGTTTTGTCCTACCACCACGGGTAGACTGTTATTATGTTGTCGTACCACCACGGGTAGACTGTTATTATTTTGTTGTACCACCATGGGTACACTTTTACTGTTTTGTCCTACCACCATTGATAGTTTAACATTATTTTCTGCATCAAAGGGATCCACAGGTGTTGTAGTTGTATTCGCATGCTCTACAGGTGGTATATTAATACTTGTGTCGATCAGAGAATCGCATATCTCGTAAGAAAACATGTTCGTACAACTTGTAACACTAACAACTTTAGGTAAGTTATCTACAGATAAGAATTCGACACCAGGTTCTAAGACAACAAAGCCGTTATCCAGAGCTTGCAAGTACATTTTGTCTCCGTGTAATAAGACATTATTCAATGTTGTTTTTGACCAATCGATCAGTGGGATATTTTGGGCAGTTAAAACTGCAGATAGACTCATAAAAGCACATTGTTTGCCTCTAGATTGAACACTAAAAAGGTCATCGCCTTGATGTATTTCAGAAGAAAGAAATATAGCCATACTTACCTGAATTTTCCCGAATATTTTTTATATAAACTTGCATCCGTAGAACTTTGTAAAATCTCGATTCTTGAGCACATGGAGATGCGTGCGCAATACAAAATCTTGTTTTGACCGCTCCCCTCATCTAACAAACGTTCTTGAAGCTTAAATTATTCCCCCCGGATTACGACATCTTTACATACATACATACATACAAACAGACAGACACAAGATCGAGATCTCGACAATACATAACTCGCGCGAAAGACTGGGTCGAGGACTCTGGAGAAACCAAAGCGTGTCAAGAATAGTTTGCTGCCTCGCTGCGCTCGGCAGCAATTATAGAGTAATTAGGTATTAATTATGGACACATCCGGGTAACGGATTACTATATAAACAAGAACGAACTTAGATATTAGGTTATATCAAAATACGTACACACTTGTATCGATCGAAAGTTAGTGATTAACAATTACATGGTGTCAGGAGTGGGATTTGCGCTGTTTATTAGCCTTAGGCTAACGGCATAAAGACACTAATTCAAACCAAAGTAATTTGCTCTGGTATACGAGAAAAAAGCCGATTGAGTTTTCAATTCAAATATGGCGACAAGCGGAGCATACATTGACAAAGGTCCTTCTATAGACTGGAGCACGGATGACAACATATATGGTCGCTTTAAAATGTGGAAGCAAAGATGCGAACTGCTACTCACGGGCCCGATGGCAACAATGTCAGAAGAAGTGAAATGTAAACATTTGTTATACTGGTCTGGCGAACGTGGCATGGAGCTATTCAACAGTTGGGACTTGTCAGCAGAAGATCAGAAAAAGCTAGTCAATTATTGGGAGAAATTTGAAAACTACGCAAAGCCGCATTTAAATGAACTGCTTGCAGTTTGGGAACTGCATAATCTTCGGCAAGGTATGTTATCTCTTGAAGATTTTATCATTAAACTAAGGATTCTCATTAAAGAAGCAAACTACCCAGCCGAACACTATGATCGATTCCTTAGAGACTTCTTAGTCCTCGGAATTAATTCTGACCGTGTTCGAAAAGATTGTTTTAAGGAAGGGAACACCCTGACATTTAGCAAAGCCAGGGGATGGCAAAAACCGATGAGTCGGCAGAAAGACAACTGCAATTAAATGAATGCTAGTGAAGTAAATAACATTGCATCAATTAGGGACAAAAGATATCAAAACCAAAGAAATCAAGTTAGACATAACCCTAGGTCTGGCATTGGAAAAGGGCAACAGTGTAGGAACTGCGGTCGGGGATCACATTCTCAAGATCAGTGTCCTGCCAAAAACATGACATGCCACTACTGTCAGAAAGTAGGACACTTTGCTAAAGTATGTTTGTCAAAGTTAAGGAATAAGAATGTACATGAAGTTGAGGCCCTTGCTGATAATATACAACAAAATCAGCTGCAATCACCTCGTGTGGGAGAGGAACAATTTGTATCCCTAGGACCAATTGTTGCCACACCTTTGGCTGCTCAAGTGCATAGTGTGTCATGCAAGGAGAAAGCATTATTAGAAGTTTCTATTTCCCTGAATAATGAAGGGATGCAATCGCATGTTGTATGCAAAATAGATTCTGGTGCCGAGACAAATATTTTGCCCATGTCCATATATCAACAGTTGAAACATGAATCACATAAGTTAGGAAAGCCTACAATGAAATTGACGGCTTATGGTGGGGCTGAACTACCAAACCTGGGATCATGCTTTGTCTTTGTAAAGGTACCGGATATCCAGAAATTATGGAAAATCCAGGTGCAAGTTGTTGATGTTAATGGCCCTATGATAATTGGCAATAAGTCTGCACAAAATTTGGGTGTCTTAAAGCTCAATTGGGCCATTTATGTTGGGAATCATAATAATAGCTTCAACAGACACAGCAGTAACACCAGTGCCACCACCAGTAACCAACCCAGCAGTAACCATCAACCACCAGTAT